ATACGACAAAACCAAAAAAGTAGGATACGGATACGGGGCCATATTTATAAATATTAAAATAATGGGGGGTGTATTTATAAATATTAAAAGTTATAGGGGTGTATTTATAAATATTAAAAAAACATATTTTTTGAAAAAAAAAATACATATATTATCCTCTGACGTCTACCCATTCATGACATTGAAACATTTTACATTTTCAAGATACTTAAAAATAAATTCATATTTTATCTCATATACACCAGTGCATCTCGAAATATAAATATGATCGATAAGTCATTATATTAAACTAAGAAATAAGTCAAGCAACTACAATTTTGAAGTTAAAAGTGCAAGTACTCGAAGTTCTAGAATAATAAAGATAGAAAACAATACGGAGTATTTTAAAAGTTCTAATATATATTTTCATTTGAGCTATTTATTTCTAGGGATAATTAGAGTTAGGGATAGGAGGATGAGTGAATTAGGATAGACTCATTAGTTTTGTAGCACATAAAATAAACGTAAAAATTATTTTTAGCTTTTCCTTTTTGAGAATTTTATTATGTAAATTTTGGGTGTTTTTGTTTTAAAGTTTCTTTGGGAAGTTTATTTTTAAGTTGATATGTGCATCCGTCAGGATACGAGTATCCGAAATTTTAAAATAATAACTCAAACAAATGGAAACTTTTAAAAATTGCAGATACAGCCCGAAAACGTATGGTACGGGTATCCTAGAATATCAGATACGGAAACGTTTCCGATACGTCGATACGGTACCCTAATGAAGTATCCATGCTTCATAGGTAAAAACAAAAATGAAAAGATGCTTTGAATAGTTTTTTGGGAAAATTGATAAGAATAATCACACCTTTCACTGGTCTTCTCATAATAATCTCACCTTTATATAATCCCAGAATAATCTCACGTTTGCACCACATCTTCTTTCATTGGACCCCTTTTTTAAAATCTTATATAAATAATCTCACCTTTGTAGGTCATCAATAGGTCAGGGTCCAATGAAAGAAGATAGGGTGCAAAGGTGGGATTATTCTTGGATTACGTAAAGGTGAGATTATTATGAGAAGACCAGAGAAATGTGAGATTATTCTTGTCAATTTTTCCTAGTTTTTTCACAACGTTAATTTATTTTTTATTTTAAAAGCCTAATATATCCTCCAATTTTACCTTATCAGTGTGTATTTTACTAATAAAAAGAAAAATAATATGAAAAATAGTTAAAATAGTCTTTTACATCAAATTTAGCCAACTCAAACAAAACTTTTGTGTTCACTGTTTGGTAAAATTAAAATCTATTTTCTTAACCGTAGATTTTTTAAAAAAAATCAAGCACTTTTAATTTAAATCCATAGGCTTTTAATCCGTAGACTTTTAAAATGAATCACTTTTGAATGAATGATTTCTATTGATTTCAATAAATCTATATACATTTCTGTGAAAGGAGGAATCAACTCAGCAGTCGGTCCCGATTGAACCGGAATCGGGCACGACACTGTTTGGGCTGGCCTGAGATTGCTTTTCGGGTCCCGGTCCAGGACCGCCCCCGCCCTCGCCTCTGAATTCATTACCTGGTCCCGGGTGTTATTTATTGTGACCGGGACCGGGCGGTCCCGGACACGGTAGAGTCCCCAACGGCTGGCTGGACAACTTCGAAAAAATTGACCAAGACCTGGTCGGTATACCCGACCCGGTCTGGGACCACTCTCTAGCGGGCCGGTCACACGTCTCCCTTTTCTTTGTCAAATACGGACCAGTCTTGATTCGGGAGCGGACCAAGTCGGTGCCTATATGAAAGACATTGATAAACTTCTTAATATACAAAAGTTAATGTGACAAATATAATAGCTAATGTTCTCTAGAAAGTTTTATCTTTTTAATTAATGACAGTTAATTTTTTCTTATCAATTCTGTTGATCTATCAATTATGAATTGTGAATAGTTTTAATTAGGGATTCGGGATTGATGAATGAGTTATTAATCATGATTTAGGGTTATTAATCATGATTTAGGGTTCATTCTTGAAGGTTTAAATGCATGATTATTATTTACTTGATTTGTTTTTGCATAACTTAATTGATATATGTTGTAATCTGGAACGGCAGCTAAAATTATAATTGCACATAGAATACTTTAAGAGAGACGTAAATTATTCTATGATATTAGTAAATGATAGGGAGTTGTACGCCCATTTATTGTGGCAATAATTTCGGAACTTGTCGCATGAGATATTAGTTTGGTTCTCTATATTATTGTATTTTACGATGCGAGAGCAATAAGAACTTAGTATTGCATGCGTTGCTCAATTAAATAACTTTCATATATTTAAGACTGATCAGCCCTGAAATCTGGTTGTCCCAAAATCAATCTCTGCTTCGCTTTCATCATTAATTAGAATGAACCATTAATTGTGTTTTGTTTTTGCATTAATTATTTCTTGCCCAAAAATCCCTGGTACTCGTACGTATTTATTTTATTTGGGTATTAGTCCCACATAGGACTAAAATTAGCCAAAGTTCAACAATAAGACTACAATCTTTTTATTCCCTATATAGTACTAATATATGACCCTTCTTCCCATTCTACCCCTCCTATAATATCTAATAGATTTATCTTATTAGTAAGAAAATCAAAGTTTTATTTAAAATAAAAATATAAAACATAATAAAATATTTATAAATTAATAATAAAAACGTGAAGAAATAACATAAAAATAAAAAACATGTTTAATTTTTTTAAAGCCTAAACAATAAATTAAAATACCTAAAAAATATGTAGGCCAATTCCACCGTGTCCTCCACCTCCCAGCACCACAAGCTCCGGTCGCCGGAGAAAAATGCCTTCTTGTGTAAAAATCGCCACATTCCTTTGAATATGTCATGAAGATGACAATTTTACTCTTTAGAAATATTCAACTTTCTTTTCAAAATTGTCATCACGATCACGACGACATTTTTTTTTTCAAATTAGCATTCTTTTCCGGCGATCGAAGGTGGCGGCGTTGGAAAGTGGTTGAGGTGGTAACTGAGGCCGGTATATTTTCTATTTATATTTTACGTTTTTTATTTTTCTTTTAATTTTGAATGTTTTGTTATTATTATTTTAAAAATCCTTCTAAGAATGATAAGGGAATAGTAGAATAGGAAGAGTTAGTCCTATTTTGGGAATTTAAACTTGAAACTCCTATTATTTCAATTTTGCCATTAATTTTTTAATGTTTTGTTTTTATTATTTAGTCATGTTTAGGGAAATCTCCCATTTTATTTTAGTTTAATCGTTGAAATTAGTTAATTCAACGATACTCGTACTTATCATCATACTTCTGATAGATTAGATAGATGTCTGGTTTTGTGTGTGTTAGCATTTCTAGTCCTATCTGGTCTGGAGTGAATTGGATTGATATATGTCTGGTTTATGTGTAATTTACAATTGTCAAAATCTGATCAAGTTTGTTTAAATCTGATTTGCTCTGAATTCGACTATTAGATGTCGGGTCTATGAGTATTTTACGAACAGTCAAGAGTACGATTTGCTTTGAGTTTTTTAAGCAGATCAGGTCTATTTAAGACTGAATCGGAATTCATCCCAACAAATAATGCTAGCATTTATCTGGAACAAATAATTAAAAAGTATACTACATGCGTTTAATCGGAATTCATCCCAACAAATAATGTTAGCACTTATCTAGAACAAAAATAATTAAAAAATAGAGATAATTACCCTGAGTATGACTAAAACTTCTTAAGTTTCTCAACCTATGACCTAACAAGTTTTTTTATCAAAATAATATTAAAATTCATAATATTTAATTAAAATTCGTAATAAATAAATAAATAAAAAAATTAGATGGACAAATATACCCACTAAGTTGTATCTATAAAACCCTAAGCTCCTACTATTTTCTCCAACCCTAGCCTTCCTTCTCCCACGCTCATAGATTCACCCGTAGCCGCACACCCCCGCCGCCGCCCCATGGCCCGCCGACCGCCCTGCCCCACCGCCCACCGCACAGCCGCTGCCCCGCCGCACAGCCGCTTATCGCCGCCTCAGGTCATTCTCTGTAACCTCCGTGTCTTTCTCAGTTACGCTCTCTGTGAAGATGGAGAAGGTGAGATGGAGTAAAGGCCATCGTTGAGCAAGTCCCCACCCAGAGTTCTGACGGCGAGGAAGCAACGGAGGAGGTCAGATAGAGTTTTTGGTGGAGGAATCTTGGTGGTCGATTGTGTGGCTGTCGGCGGGCGCCTCTGTGCACACAAATAATATGCGGATGAGGTTGATTGTTTCTCTGGGATTTGGAACACGTCTAATAATTTGCGAGAAATACTTTGACTTCTAGTAGCATTGTGTGCAATAATTATGGAGTGCAGTGCATTTTTTTGGCATACGGGATGCAGTACATTTTTTTGGCATACTGAGTGCATTGCATTGAACAATTGAGACCTGATTTTGTTCTTCTCTTTTTGTATTTTTAAAATTAGAGTTTTTGGACATTGAATATGGGCAGTGAACATTGCAATAGATAGTGTTGTATATGAGCATTAAATGAATGCATTGACGGGAAGTGCAATAATTATGACCAGCAATGCATTGACACAAAGTAGTAATGCCACCATGTAATAATAAAATAATAAAATAATTAAATCTGAAAAATCCTCATTATGAATTAGAAGAAAATTAATTTCGGCGGAAGTGCAGTGATTATTACCGGATGTGCATTAAAGTCGTGCATTAATGTAGTGCATTAACGATAATATAAAGTGCAGTAAAATTAGTGCAAAATGCACATATTTTAAATAAGGGTATTTTCGTCATTCAATCTTTAAAAATAAACGAGATTTCTTTATTTTTTTTTGGATTTTTAGTCATACGAAAGTATAAAAACTAGTTAGATCATAGATTGAGAAACACATCGAGTTTTAGTCATATCCTAGGAAATTTCCCTAAAAAATATACTACATGCGTATAAAATTGAATACCCACAATTTATTACTCCGTATCGATCATAGTATCCCATGAGAAAATGTTTGGAATATACACATACCACGCCTCATTGAATGCTCTCGAAAAACTATATATATGCTCCCTCCCAAGCATGATACCACATCCAAGTCGAGAAAGCACTAAAACCCCCTAGAGAAGTTCTGAAATTGAAATTTTCCTCTGCTGCAATCAAGTTTTTGAGTGTGGAAAAGAAGAAGAAATGGGGAGCGTGGTGAAGGGTTTGGATGTGGAGAGGTACATGGGGAGGTGGTATGAGATTGCTTCGTTCCCGTCATTATTCCAGCCCAAGGATGGGGTGGACACCCGGGCGACGTACAAGCTCAACCCAGACGGTACAATCCATGTGTTGAATGAGACTTGGAATAACGGGAAGAGAGATTTCATCGAGGGAACTGCTTACAAAGCTGATCCCAAGAGTGATGAGGCTAAGCTTAAGGTTAAGTTTTATGTTCCTTCTTTCTTGCCCCTCATCCCTGTCACAGGAGACTACTGGGTTTTGTTCATAGACAAGGATTATCAGTATGCTCTCATTGGTCATCCTCTCAGAAGCTATCTTTGGGTATGTTCTGTACATTCTTATTTACAGTTCTGTCACATTCTTGCTTCCTTTTTACAGATCATTTTCTCATTAATCGAGTTCTGACTTAATTAAACCTAACAACATAAGGTAGGCCAGTTTGGATCTAACCAAGATATGTGCTTTAATCTAAATGTTGATGAACATAAACTGTCCTTTCAATAGAAACACTTTTCAGAAACACTTTGGGATCTATTATCGCCTTGTGGGTCTGGCAGATTCAGGCAGGGTTAAGTGGGGGAGTCTGGAATTACAAAATGCAATTTGTTTCCCCCAATAATCACCTGATATCAATGTAAAGTCATCATATATGGGACAAATATAGATACACCTTCATTTATAAAGCCTTATAGGGGTTGACCTTTACCAATAGAAGGAACTCCAAGCATATCCGTTGATCTTTCCATAAATTTGAAGTGCGGATTTATTTTAGTTATTGGTGTTTCTAACGTTAAATTGTCCTTTTAATTCACAAAACTTTCAAGATCCTGTGCCGGAGTCCTCGGCTTGACAATGCGACCTACAACCAGTTGGTTGAGATGGCAAAAAATGAAGGGTATGATGTAAATAAGCTTCACAAGACGCCCCAATCTGCTACTCCCCCAGAAGTCCAGAGTGCATCGAATGGCAAGGGAATTCAGTGGATAAAATCCCTCTTCAGAAGGTAAAGAGTGGCAATAAAAACAGCAATAACAACAGCAAAGGGTTCATTGTGTACAGAACAATAATAAAGAGAGCTTCATAGTTGCCTACTACAGACAGATATGAGCGTCTCCGATTTGTGCATAGTATAGACACTTTTCATTTAAACTTATCGAATCAAATGTTGTTTCATATTAATTTGGTATAGATGTTTTCTGGACCAAATCTGTATTTTCTTTTCAGTTCAATAAAAACCTATTCACACTAATAAGTTTCTTCAAACTTTATAATTCATATTTTGTTGGCAGAGATTAATAGTGAAGTGTTAACCACTCTATAATGCAAGTGATGGTCTAATGGATTTTCAAGCTGCTTAAAACCATGGCCAGAAGGAGCTTAAATTATCTTCAAACATCCCATCCCAAGGTTATCAACTAGTAGTATCTTTTTTCACATTTTCAAACTTTTAAATTCCCACATCTTCATCTATTTCAAGACGTACAAAAGTATAGCAGCCTTTTTTTTTAAATTGATACTTTAGCAAGTGATATAATTATGACTAAAGTTATGACTAAAGTTAAAATGAATTATAATCACTCAAATATTATTCGAAATTGCAAGGGAACTAAAAAGTGTAGGACAAAGATAGAGAGCTAAACCCGACCTGATCCAGAAAATGATTCGTTTGACCCGAATAATATGAACTTTAGCAAATTTCAAATGATTGTATTAATGGACTGCTTCATTATGAATAATAGAGAGAATTTCAAATGATTGCATAACAATGTAGAGCAGGAAGTTTAGTGAGTCATTTTGTTTTATTTCATCATATTTTCTAGCCAAAAAATAGTGAGTCTTTGCTCCTTTGAAAATAATGGAAAAATCAATATAACAGTAATACTGTCATATAAATAAATGTATGAAAAAGGCATAATATAACTTTAACATTCCCTCCCCAACTTTTAACATGTAATAATAATACTCAAAACAAAGTATATATAGACACATTCATGACTACATTATGGTGACTGATTTTAGAATCAAACCTATGCCGATGACCCGTAGACGAAATGGCCTCCCTTGCAAGTGTATGAGAAGTTTGATTCATGGATTGCTTACAAAGTGACTTTATTGTGATCTTCATCTTTAATCATATGTCTAAACAGCATGTATTGCCTCACTTCTTGCTGCCACAAACTGCCCTTTATCATCCTGAACCACCCAACCCCAAGCACACACCCCAAAAGTTAAATGTTCACAAGTAATTTACAATTATAATGTTGTACGAAATACTCCATATATGATATTGTTTGATCAAACAATTCCAAAGATGTAGCTTTTTAAAGAATAAACCCTTGTGAAAGGGTTAAAAGTAAGAAGCTGAATACTTTGTATAATTGTATTAGACCATCCCTAGCACCTACCACTACTCCACTAGCCTCCTCCACGGTCCCAACAATCTTTGTCATTGTCCAAAAATGCTAGCAACCGTAATCGTCGCACCGCAATCACCATTAACCCTAGACGTTGTCACCACACCGCCCTAGTTCTGACTAGAAGTGTTGTCGGTACACAACACCACAACAGTCGTGAAATAAACATCTATTACCGCCAGTTATTTGATGACACCGGCCACATCTATCTGCATCGAGGAGATCGACGATGACGACGAGTGATTGGGGTATGGTGCAGCGACGACGCATGATCAAGATGGTGGTGAGGTGGCGGCACACGACGAAACTATTGGTGCGATGGGAGAAGATTGCAGAAAGAACATCGACGATGCGTAGGCGGATGTGAGAAGATCGCAAGGGAAAATTGATCTATAGAAGGAATAAGGCAAACAAAGATATTTTAGACTATTACTGTTTTTTTGTCTCTTTTTTGTCCAAATTCAAAAAGTGATCTTCATAAAGAGAGCTTCATAGTTGCCTACTACAATATGAGTGTCTCCGATTTGTGCATAGTATAGACCCTTTTCATTTAAACTTATGGAATGAAATGCTTTTCATATTAATTCGGTATAGATGTTTTCTTGACCAAATGTTTTTTCTTTTCAGTTTAATAAAAACCTATTCACACTAATATGATTCTTCAAACTTTATTATTCATATTTTGATGTCAGAGATTAATTAGTGAAGTGTTAACCACTATAATGTAAGTGATGGTCTAATGGATTTTCAAGCTGCTTAAAACCATGGCCACAAGGAGCTTAAATTATCTTCAAACATCTCATCCCAAGGTTATCAACTAGTAGTATCTTTTTTCACATTTTCAAACTTTTAAATTCCCACATCTTCATCTATTTCAAGACGTACAAAAGTATAGCAGCCTTTTTTTTTAATTTGATACTTTAGCAAGTGATATAATTATGACTAAAGTTATGACTAAAGTTAAAATGAATTATAATCACTCAAATATTATTCGAAATTGCAAGGGAACTAAAAAGTGTAGGACAAAGATAGAGAGCTAAACCCGACCTGATCCAGAAAATGATTCGTTTGACCCGAATAATATGAACTTTAGCAAATTTCAAATGATTGTATTAACGGACTGCTTCATTATGAATAATAGCGAGAATTTCAAATGATTGCATAACAATGTAGAGCAGGAAGTTTAGTGAGTCATTTTGTTTTATTTCATCATATTTTCTAGCCAAAAAAAATAGTGAGTCTTTGCTCCTTTGAAAATAATGGAAAAATCAATATAACAGTAATACTGTCATATAAATAAATGTATGAAAAAGGCATAATATAACTTTAACATTCCCTCCCCAACTTTTAACATGTAATAATAATACTCAAAACAAAGTATATATAGACACATTCATGACTACATTATGGTGACTGATTTTAGAATCAAACCTATGCCGATGACCCGTAGACGAAATGGCCTCCCTTGCAAGTGTATGAGAAGTTTGATTCATGGATTGCTTACAAAGTGACTTTCTTGTGATCTTCATCTTTAATCATATGTCTAAACAGCGTGTATTGCCTCACTTCTTGCTGCCACAAACTGCCCTTTATCATCCCGAACCACCCAACCCCAAGCACACACCCCAAAAGTTAAATGTTCACAAGTAATTTACAATTATAATGTTGTACGAAATACTCCATATATGATATTGTTTGATCAAACAATTCCAAAGATGTAGCTTTTTAAAGAATAAACCCTTGTGAAAGGGTTAAAAGTAAGAAACTGAATACTTTGTATAATTGTATTAGACCATCCCTAGCACCTACCACTACTCCACTAGCCTCCTCCACGGTCCCAACAATCTTTGTCATTGTCCAAAAATGCTAGCAACCGTAATCGTCGCACCGCAATCACCATTAACCCTAGACGTTGTCACCACACCGCCCTAGTTTTGACTAGAAGTGTTGTCGGTACACAACACCACAACAGTCGTGAAATAAACATCTATTACCGCCAGTTATTTGATGACACCGGCCACATCTATCTGCATCAAGGAGATCGACGATGACGACGAGTGATTGGGGTATGGTGCAGCGACGACGCATGATCAAGATGGTGGTGAGGTGGCGGCACACGACGAAACTATTGGTGCGATGGGAGAAGATTGCAGAAAGAACATCGACGATGCGTAGGCGGATGTGAGAAGATCGCAAGGGAAAATTGATCTATAGAAGGAATAAGGCAAACAAAGATATTTTAGACTATTATTGTTTTTTTTGTCTCTTTTTTGTCCAAATTCAAAAAGTGATCTTCATAAAGAGAGCTTCATAGTTGCCTACTACAATATGAGTGTCTCCGATTTGTGCATAGTATAGACCCTTTTCATTTAAACTTATGGAATGAAATGCTTTTCATATTAATTCGGTATAGATGTTTTCTTGACCAAATGTTTTTTCTTTTCAGTTTAATAAAAACCTATTCACACTAATATGATTCTTCAAACTTTATTATTCATATTTTGATGTCAGAGATTAATTAGTGAAGTGTTAACCACTATAATGTAAGTGATGGTCTAATGGATTTTCAAGCTGCTTAAAACCATGGCCATAAGGATCTTAAATTATCTTCAAACATCCCTTCCCATGGTCTAATGGATTTTCAAGCTGCTTAAATTAATTATCTTCAAGGTCTAATTAATTTAGTATCTTTTTTCACATTTCAAACTTTTAAATTCCCACATCTTCATCTATTTCAAGAAGTACAAAAGTATAGCAGCCATTTCTTTTAAAATTGAGACTTTAGCAAGTGATATAATTATAATAAAAATTTGAACTTTGTGTTTGATATTGAATTTGCAAATTATGACTAAAGTTAAAATGAATTATAATCACACAAATATGATTAGAAATTGCAAGGGAACTAAAAAGTGTAGGACAAAGATAGAGAGGCAAATCCGACCCGACCCAGAAAATGATTCGTTTGACCCAAATCATATGAACTTTCGCAAATTTCAAATGATTGCATTAACTGCTGTTTCATTATTAATAATAGCTAGAATTTCAAATGATTGTAAAACAAAGAAACGCAGAAACTTTAGTGAGATATTTTGTTTTATTTCATCATATTTTCAAGCCAAAAAAATTGTTAGTCTTTGTTCCTTTGAAAATATGGAAAAATCAATATAACAGTGATATTGTTGTATGATAAAACCAAAATACTACAATATGACTCCCGATCACATTTTATTACTTCTATTACGAAAAAGGCATAATACTCCTATTTAAAATTAGCCCTTTAGATGTACCCAAAATTTAAAATATTAAGATACAGATGTTCGGAGGACAGAAAGGAGTAAAATAATAAGTAATAATATTATTAAAATAACTTTAACATTCCCTCCCCAACTTTTAACATGTAATTATAATACTCAAAACAAAGTATATATAGACACAATAATGACTACATTATCGGTGACGATTTTAGAATCAAAAGTTCTTTTTGGAAGAAAAAGGCTAAAAATATAGGAAGGTTGGACATCAAACCTATCCCTACAACCCGTAGATGAAATGGCCTCCCTTGAAAGTGTATGAGAAGTTCGATTAGATTCATGGATCGCTTACAATCTATGTAGCACCGATACCGGTACGCGGAAACGCGGAAACGCGGAAACGGGTACGGGGATACGTCAAAACCAAAAAAAGTAGGATACGGATACGGGGCCATATTTATAAATATTAAAAGTTATGTGGGTGTATTTACAAATATTAAAAGTTATAGGGGTCTATTTATAAATATTAAAAATAGATTTTTTTTGAATATATATATATATATATACATACATATAATATCTCATGATGTCTACCCATTCATTGCATTGAAACATTTTCATTTTTCAAGATACTTAGTAATAAATTCATAATATT